CATCTGCAGAAATTGGAATAGGTTTTTGGGATTCTTGGGGTGTCACGTTTCTCAGTTGAAAGGTCAGTAGCTTTTTTTACCAAAATAAAAGTTTTTAGTAGGTACCGTTTTTTCTGAACAATTCCTTAGCAGAAAATTTAAATCCGAATATAGCCATTCATAATTTTTGTCTTTCAAAACATTCATGTTTCTGTGACATTTTTACCAACTTTGCGTTAATTTTCAGCAAAATAAATGAACTGTTTGCTTTAAGTATTTCTTTCTTTCATCCGAAACGTTGTCGACATCAATTTTGCTTACTTAATGTTTGAAAACAGCATCAGTTTTTTTTTTTGTTACCTTTTCGCCATATTTCAAAAAGGTCGATTTTTTTATACGGAGGTTGCCTAGAAAAAGAGGCATTACTCGCAAAACGCAAAAAATCGCAACATGAAATAAATTGAACATAACTCATTAGTTATCACTTAATTTATGTGCAAAATTTCAAAGAGGTCATATTGGGTCATTTTTTTTAAGTTTACTGAAAGTCAATATATCAAATTACTTTAACTCTTTAAAGTCTTCATAGGCTAAAGGGTTATTTTCAAGTATAGTATCGCAAACATAAAAATGTATCTATATTTTCCATTTTCCACAAATTAATTATTGTAAACACAATCGAAATAATACACACTCAAAGTTGACTAAGCACCACAGAAATATAAGCATATTTACAGAATAAATTATATTGAGCGATGTGTAACGGTACTTCATATTTAGCACAAATAAATATCACGTCTCTCTATTTTGGAGTGTTCTAAATACCAAAACAATAACAACTCATGAAAAGCGACACTTTGACACTTTTGCACAGAAAAACCGGTCATTTGACCTATAGTGGAATGAGTAGAGTGCTAACAGTCCTTTCTTAGAGCGTTCCTCAACATTCCTGTTCCACGTTTATTTTCGGTCAAGGATTGTACCAAGGTATTTTGCTTCTTAAGAAAGGGTTAGGGTGAGGGGTCCCCTAAATCACGATTTATAAAAGTGTACATGTGCATCAATCGCTCGATTATAACGTTTTATTTATTTATTTGATTTTATTTATTTTTTTTTTTTTTTTTTTGAACTAGAAATACTTATTTCCTTTATTTATGTTCCTCGGTGGCGTTAGTGATTTTATAAACAAATTCTCTCAATTCATTCTATAAATAATAATTATCATATTTTTTGGCGCCCAAACATCTACAACTGTGACGAGAATTGTTTTTATAATTGTTATCTCATCACCACTAAAGATTGGCGACTCAATTAACATTCACATGTTAGAGTATTATTATCTACCGTTGATAATATTCTATAATACTAAAAATATCAAAAAACAAAACAAAAAATGAATGAATTCTATTGACTTTGTATTAAATCTATGTTTGTATTATATTTTTTAATAAGAGAAATCCCGTTCATACCACAATGCCATTTTTTCATATGTGACACATACCCATATACTGCCAAAAGTGTGGGACAGTGATTTCCAGTATTTGTTGCGGGATTCATTGATTTTTCAGTAATACCAATATTTTTTGACATTCTTTGTATGACTAACATACATATGTACATATACAACAGTTATTTATAATCGCATTTGTTTTCTTTTCTTTTTTGTTATACATTTTTCGTCATTCGCCCGCGCAAACATGTTGGAAGACATAAAGGGAAAAATGACAACATTCCTTGCAATATAAAACTTTGTAAAATTAATTTGCTTTGGCATTTGACTAATTTAAAAAAGAGGATAAGACATAATCTGCTTGAAATTCAGTCTAAAATCCTCATTTTTATAAAGGTTATATTTTGTTTTAATGCCTACCGAAGTAATGCGCTACCGCACTTTTTTAGAGCTCTATATCTCAGTACTTATTCAACAGATATAAAAACGTTATGGCTGATTATTGTCCTCTGATACTTAATTTTAAAAACTAGTAACAAAAACGTATAATAAATCAGTATTAGGTTTTTTTACAGTTTTGTATAAAAGTAAAATTAGCTTTGGCATTTGATGGGAGACATAATCTGCTTGAAATTCAGATCCTCTAAAGGTTATATTTTGTTTTAATATGCGACTCGATGTTTGACTTTTAAGGGCATATTTTCTAGCGGCGGAAGTTGACATCTCAAGGCCACACACACACCATCAGCAATTTGATCTTTTGTATGTAATTTTGAACCATATTAAAGTATTATTTTTAAACTCAAACCAAAAAAAATTAAGGAAATAATAAAGCACTATCTGTATATGGCCGAATATGTACCACTTTAAAATGCCAAATCTACCCCGTACTTTCTATAGTTTTTTTTTCATTTTTTTCTATCAATCTTCTACAAACATTATATTTTTAAATATTTTTATAAGAATACACCCTGTAATAAATTACTTTTTAATAATACTACCTTAAAATTTGAAACGTTTTTTACACGAGGCCGTAATTATGGCCCGAACATCGAAATTTCTCATTGAGAAAAGGGGATCGGGCCAAAAAATAAGCGTGCCTGTTTTGATAAAGATTGGTCAATATTTAGCGGTTCAAATGGACCTTGAATTTTCAGTGAATAATTACAAAATTTGAATTCTATGACGTATATATTTACCCTGAAGGACGTAGACCCAATAAGTTGATAGTATATCCAATGGGAGTGATTGACCTGTAAATGCATACCAATTATATTATCGTATGTATTCGGATTTGGGAGTTACACTTAAATATTTACAGGTTAGGCTGACGTTAGAGTGCGCGCGAGAAGCGATGCTATGATATGCCGCTAGGCGACGCTATAAACCTCTGCGTGTGTTTTCTTATGGCATAGCGCAAAAGCTGTCAGAGTGGATGCTACGCTACAAGCGAGACAAAGCTAGTGCAAGCGATAAAGCGTGTTGTGCAATGGTTTATAGCAAGAGCTCGCGTTGGCTCTGTTTGAGTTTCTTTGTTTATTATTTTTATTTACCGTTATTGGCATCGGTTTTTGGCATCGTTCTTTTGCATCTTATCGAATTTTATTTTTTTGTGAACTCATGCCCAAATTTAAATAAATAATAATAATAAAATAATTTGGAAAAAATACGGGAAATCGATGCAGAAATATTTGTTAATTTGATGAATTTTTATTTAAAAATTACTTTGAAAATAATTTGCGATATGAAAAATTCTTCGTCTGAATTCTTCTTGAGTCAATAAACACCAGTTTACAACAGAAAATGCGATGTTAACCAAGAACACGCTTTGCTCTCTATAGCACTCACTCTGACATACTATAGCATTGAAGTAGCATGAACTATTATAGCATGTAGTATCGCATCGCTTCTCGCTTGCACTCTGACGTCAGCCTTACAGGTATTCATATAATATTTAGTAACCCATTACCACACTAGAGGGCGGGAATATATCGGTGATCGCTTTGAAATAATTTTCGCTACGCCTATAATTTTCGGTAATGATCAGATACTAATATTGTGATGAAGTGGACCGAATACTTAATTTTTGTGTTTTTCGAGTCGATCTATAGGCCACAACTGTAAGCCGAACATCACAACACATCCTAGGGTGAAGAGAATCTGGACAAGTAATTAGAAGGGCTGTGCTGAATACTAGTTATATTCGGAAAATATGTCAGTATAAGGAAAATGTGCTGCTGACTTCTACTCGGTCAAGAGGTTGCAAATATCGCGAAATTGTGCCCAAGCTCAGAATATAGAACCACAGAAATTTAGATTATCGTGGAAGATGTATAGGGTATCATATTATATCGCTCATTGGTTATTACTATTTATGTTTTCATTATATACAACTGCCACAACGACGATCAACCATCTGATGGAAACATCCACTTTAGATCAAAAGTTCCTTTGGACTAATTAGGTGGCAATAAAGAAATGTACCTCCGTACAATTCTCCAAAATAGTAAGGGTTATAATTCATACTGGACACCTCATATATTCATTTAAAATTTATAACGTATTCGAATATGAGGATTATTAGATAACTCCTTATTATACGTACCATAAAAATACTCAAAATGGTTCGATAATTTTTCATATATGGCTAGATTAATATATCAAAAAATTAAAAATTGTCGAAGTTTTACTTTCCACTTCGGCCGGAAAATGCCTGAAATTGAAATGGCTTTATTTGGGTTTTATGTTAAAACATGTCCCTATATCGAAAATAATATTTTTTTACCCATCAAGAACCCGGAATGGAAAATTGAAGCTACCTAAATAGTGGGAACGGGACCTTTATACTATGGCTATAAAAAAATCATGAAGCAATATTGTAATTTCATGCAAAAATTATTTTATCCTTCAAGAACCCAGAATGCCAAATGGTAATCTTTTCGGATGAAAAATGGCACCTATGACCATAAAAACCCCAAAAAATGTTGCGCGACATATATTTGAAGGCTACGCCAAAGCAAGGACCTATATGGAAAAGTTCGGTAAAGATGTTTTTTCCCAATTACTCAAAATGACAAATGACCACATGTTCGATTATAAAATATTGAAAATGGTGGGATACCGTTATATTTGGATCACACCAATTTTCCAATACCAAACATGCTAGGAGTAGTAGAAATGAGTGTGCAAAATTTGCAAAGCTCTATCGTGATTTCAACAGTCGTTTTTTCAGGAATGATTTCAGTCATGCAAATGATACATTCAATATTGGCATCAGGTGCATTATGTCCACTCCAGTCTAATGACAGAGGATTGGACGCCAATATGTTCCGCGCAAAACTCAAGATTTTTACACTTCCGAAATAATGTCGTTCAATTTTAATCAAAACACTTTCTCGCCTCTATGCAAATCTAATATGTACATACATATATTAATTTATATTTAGCATTTATTCTATACTAATTCTTAACCTCATTTATTTCTTATTCTTCTAGGTTACTAGCTATAACAAATTTTGTTGGACCTAACTAACTATATATTAAGAATTCCACAATCAAATTGACAAAACTCCAATAGACACAATGTTCCGCAATACACCATTGGCCAATACACCAACCTTTAAGCTTATATTAGGCTTTGGTCTGTGTACGCTAGGTGGTGCTATGTTATATGCCTACTTTAAGCAACGTGACGAAGATGATGAAGATCAAAAACAGGACACAACAAGAAATCATTCACAAAAGCCCAAAGCCATTAGCCGACAAAGTTCACAAACAGCATCGAAACAGGCACAAAAAGAAGTGAAACTTGAATTTAAAATATCCAATGAACATGTGCCGCTAATAGCGGGAAGGCAGGGAGCCAATTTGAAATCCATACAGGATAGGACACAGACAACTATACATTTTCGGTAAGTCGCAGTATAGAAAATAAATCCCTTTTGCACTTTGCAAATGTCTAATGTTTGTGTGTGTTCTTTCTTCTTCTGCTTCTTTTAGCGACAAAGATGATACCCATAAACTATGTGAAATAACTGGCCATCCGGACAATGTTAAGGAAGCTCGTTCCATACTACTGAAAGAAATCGAACGTTCGCCAATTGTCAAAGAAGAAATCTATGTACCACAAAGTGTTTGTGGCAAAATTATGGGCCGTTGTGGTGAAGCAATGCAAGAAATATGTCGCATCTCCTTGGCCAAGGTTTCCGTTGATGCCGGAGTACGTAGTGCCAATACGAGACGTATTACGATTACCGGTAATCGCCAACAAGTTAATATTGCACGCAAAATGATTGAAGATAAAATCGAAGAAGATGAAAATTTACGTCGTGCCGTTGAAGAAGTCGAACAAAAACGTGAACCCAGACGTTCACCGGCAAACAGTGTCAATTCCAGCATGTATTCATCGCAAACGTCATTAAGTTCGCATTTGCCACCGCGTGAAAAATTGATGGCCGCTCGTAATGATGAAAAACCCATGGAGGTATATGTATCGGCTATTGCCTCGCCAGCAAAGTTTTGGGTACAACTCATTGGACCGCAAACAAAGAAATTGGATGATTTGGTAGCCAATATGACAGCGTACTATAGTAATGCTGAAAATCGTGCCATGCACCAGATCCATGAACCATATTTGGGGCAGATTGTGGCAACGGTTTTTAAACATGACAATAAATGGTATCGAGCTGAAGTCGTTGGCATCCTGCCCAATCAATATAATCCCAATGAGGTTGTATTGGATTTGTATTTTGTTGACTATGGCGATAGTGAATATGTATTACCTCATGAAATATTTGAATTGCGTACAGATTTTCTTACATTAAGGTAGGTAAAATATTGTAATCGATATTTGGCCTTGATGTAGGCTTGTTGTGATCTATATCAAGGTCCATTAACTTTTCCATTGTCTTCATTAGAAAGATACATTAGAAGTGATCATTATTTTTTTTTTAAACAAATCGTCTTTGTCTTTTCATCATTAACTTAAATTTTTTGCAGATTCCAAGCTGTTGAATGTTTTTTGGCTAACGTGAAGTCGACATTAATCAGTGATCCACAAACATGGGAACCTCAATCCATTGAATTTTTCGAAGATTTCACACAAGGTTAGTATGAATGAACCCGAAGCCCACTTCGGACTAATCTACAAATGCCTATTTTTTTAAATTCTTCTTCTATTATAGTTGCCCGTTGGAAGAAGTTAATCTCACGTGTTGTTACATATAAGGATCGTGTTAAAACGCTAACTGGCAATGCAGCTGCACGTGAAGGATCGCCCATACCTGGTGTTGAACTATACGATATACAAGAGGGTATGTTACAGCAAAACCTTTTTCAAATTATATAAATTTCAATTTAAATTGTTTTCCTCCAAAACAAAAAAATAGGCATTGAAATAAATTTGGGTCACATGATGATTTCCCATGGCTATGCTCTGCCCATCAGCGAAGATTATCCCCGTGCCCTATCGCCATATACCGCAAGTCTTAGCAATTCAAATGATGCCTTGACGAACTCATCCACAACATCATCGTCCATAATGAAACCACAATCACCACAGCCACCTTTATCGCCAGCCTACTCAAATGATGCCGATTCGGCCGAAGATGCTCTAATCGAAGAACAATTGAAGCATTTGAAATCCGCCACACCGTTCAATAAATATGTAAATGGCAGCAATAATATAGCAGTAACAAAAATGACACCCTCCGAATTCTTTAATGGTGGCGGTCAAACAACCAACAGTGCACCAATTACGAAGGCCACAAATGGCCATCACAATAACATGGATGCATCAACAGCGTCAACGTTATATACCAATGGCAATCCTCAACGATAAAGACTGTGGTTATTGTGTGTTATTTAACTTAGACAGTAAATAAATTAGATAGTGTTTGGCAGTAGTAGTGTTCTTATATTTGTTTTTGAACAATACTTCTCCTGTAAATAGATTGTGAAGTTTAATTATTTTTATTTTTTTTTAGTTTTCTACAAATTGTATTTTGTAATTTTTTAATTTAAGAACTTTATGCCATATTTTAGTTATTATTTAATATAATGTCTCTTTTTTGTTTTTTTTTCTTCTATTTAATTTGGGCTTTTCCAAAATACATCCTAAATGGTTTGTTTTTCTTTTTTATGAGTTATTTTAATTTTACTTTTTCTTTATCTATCCCCATTGCTTCTTAAAGCATTATCCCTAAAGTTGTGTAAATATTTCTTAACTACATATATTAAGTGTTTGTTTTGCATTACAATAACAAGAAAAGGAACAAGAAATGTCATATTTGTTTTTAATGTATACCATTTTAAATAATTACTTAATCTAATTAAGTAACTGGCATATTTACACAATTTCTCTAAATTATCGATATCATCGATTGCATATCGTGTGTTTTTTTTTTTTTTGAAACTACCACATTCATAATTGTACAATAAAAGAAACTTAACATGAATGTTGTTAAAACTGACAATCTTTCATGCAAATAAATAAAATTAAAAAAAAATTTAAAATTAGCATGTGTTTTAATTTCATCTGCTGTATTTCCGTAAAGAAGTGGTGTCTTGCTTCGAACGTTTTATATATGGTAAAAATTTCAAACTCTGAAAATAGTTTAAAGAGGGATGGAACTTCTACAAGAGAGTCATACCATTGATGGATTTTTTCGGACTGGTTTATAGACCATGTATAATGTAGTTATAAGGAATTTCTTAACTCAAAGTCCAATAGATCTTTAGGTAAAGTGTGACTTAAGTTCCCAACTCTGGGAATTAAAAGTATTACTTATTTATTAGGAATATTCCTTGCATGGAAAAACGAAATAAGTATTCAACCTATTTTAACTGGCTGTCATCTATAAAATGCATATCTTCTAACTGCCATCTATTTTTATGTCATCTTTACTAAGGCGATCAGTTTTTGAAAATGTAAATAGATGACAAAAAGAAAAAAGTATATTTTTAATAAAGATAATAGTTTGTGTATAAAAAATCATTTCGATTTACTTATAAATATATAAAATGAGTTAAAAATTCGTTAAAAGTTCTAAACGAATAATCTTGTGATCTTTATATAAGGAACATAGCAAAGAAGTAGACCTAAGTGACTATGTTTTCTAGAATATTTTGCAACCCATAAGCCTCAACAAGTAGTAAATTACATTCACTTTTGAAGGCAATTTTTTCGTACAATTAAAAAAATGTAAAGGTGGGCTTCTTTATAATCGGAAACATAGAAGCCAAAATATCAAATATCAGCCAATACGTTTGCAAAACGTGTCCAGGAACCCTAAAAATATCAAAATTTTATAATTAATAATTTTTATGGAAATTGATTACGCAATTAGAACTCAAAATATGAAATAACAGATAATTTGGTTGGACAATATGTTTAAAATCCTGAAAATACCTTTTCCTAAAATGCCAATAAAATTTTATAAAATTTATTAATTTGTTTTAATTTACAAAAATAAACATTTATCAAGGTTTTAAAAATATAGATGACAGATTATAAAAATAGATGACAGATAGAGGACATAAATTTTATAGATGACAGTCAGTTCAAATAGATGATTGTCCTCTAAAAAAGAGGACGTATTGTCACCTTATATTTAGTCATCTATATTTTTTTAACCTTTAAAATTTAAACATATTCTATTTATTTATTTGTAAAGTTGTTTAGAAAACTTCTCGAAATATTCACCGGAGACACCATAATATATATTTTTTGGTTCAGAATAAAATTCTATATCAATTTATGCAGGTATGTATATCCGTCGTTTGAAATTACGATAGAGCTTGCAATATTTATGATAGATCATGAAATTTTCTCTGCAAAAATATTTTTTGGGGGGCGTATTCAATATATGGATTAGTTCAAAATTCTTAATTCCAAGTAAATTGTTAAATTTTTTCTTGGTATCATCTATTTGTATTTTTAAAATCTTGTCGCCTCAGTTAAATGTTTGCTTCCTGCAAGACTGAGAATGTAAGGATGAAAATATTTTGTCTTAATAAATTATCGCTATGAAATTTGCACTTCTAGCTCCAAAGAAGCTTCATAGGCTGTAAAATGATACCCATTTTGTCTGGATTTTAATAACACGACTGGTTTAAATCAAGGTTTTCAGAAGTATACATTTACCTCCTATATGAAATGTATATCACTGTGATCTGCCCAACGAGATCCGAGTGGAGCCATGTATAGGGGACCCTTTTTACCAAAGAGTGTGTATAATTTATAAAATTTAAAAACAGATTCTTACTATGAATAAAAATGTAATTTTTACTTGTTTTTATAGAAGTTTATTTCATTAAAAAATGTATAATAAGTATAAAAAATTGCACTTAGCATAGTAATAATATGAATGAGATATATGAGACCTAATAACTGTGTTGATGCATCATAATTCTGATTGGCAGTTGATGTTTAAGATTTGAGTATCAATTTCAAATTGTGTTAGTTCAATTGTATGTAAATTAAATTACACATAAATATGAAGAACGTCAATACTTGATTTATCAATTTGAGCTTTAATTCTACAAGAAAATTTAAATGTACCAAAATATGTACTTCGAATTATAAGCCTTACAAATTATAAAAATGGAGTGTCCCCTAAATTAATATATCATTGGTGGTATTAATGGCAATCGGTGGCAAATATATAGCTCGTATCTGGCTACGTAGCCTTGCAATTTCAACATCTTCCCGTTCCAGTTCACGTATCAATTGTGAGAATTGTACCAGACCCTCACGATTACCCGGAAATCCATACGATTTTATTACTTCCGTTTGTAATTGCATTACCAGTGGGAATACATGCTGCATCATTAGAAGCATCTCCTTGCCGGCCGAGGCTTTTGCTTCGGATAACTTTTTTGAATTCTCCGGTTGATTGACTGTGCGTATAATATCAATTAATATTTGTTTGGCAGTATCGTTATTAAAATTCATTGTTATTGTTGTTTTATTTGTATTTTGTGTGAATAAAATTATTTTATATTTAGAGCAAAGCCTCCTCCTCTGCGCGTCTTTTGCCTATTACTGAATAATCTCACCGTAGGTATACTAATGTAAGGTAGCCGCATCGGCCCAGCTGATGGTACAATGAAATGTCAAAACATATTGTTGTAAATAGAATTCGCCGAACATTGACGTAACGCAAAATCATATTTGTAATATTCTAATTGTCATCCTTAATGGAAAATAAAAATAATTGTTTATTTCGAAAATAGAAAAAATTGAGGATAAAGTCATGATGCAATAATAAAGTATAAAAACAAAAACTTCTGTTTTTTATCTGACACATTTTATCTAGTAATATTTGTCATGGTTGGCAACATGCACGTCGAATTAATAGGTGTGTCTGGTTACTTTTCCAGTAACATTTACTCAGTAAGTTCTAGTTCAGAGAGTAAGCCTGAGAAAAGTAAACAGACAACATTTAGTAAGGTTTTGCAAAAAAAAAAAACAGCTGATTCAAGAAAACATTTGATTTGCGCCAAAATAAAAAACAAACAAAGGACGAACACAATTATTTGTATTGCATTTAATATTAAAAATAAAATGAATAATAAAAGAAAAATTGATTTGGTATGTTCCCCAGGAACATTTAAGCTTCCTGCATTAATATATTGCCCTCTATCTGGAACTTGCCTAAAAATATAAAGAATTAGTTTCTAATTTAATGTAACTTTGCATTGCTTACGAATTTTCTTCCATTTTCTGTTACTTTTATACAACTTAACTTCAAATTGAACTTTGCAAATTAAAAAAATGTTTTGAATAATTTTTGTGTTTGGTCCTAAAGCAGCTGATCCAAAAATGGTTGGGTTTGCAAAATCTTACTGCATAAAATTTTTTCAGTAAACTCCAATAAGTTTGTTGTTGTTGTTGGACTGTCAAACTTGCTCTCTCACTTGACTCTCTTTTACTGGATTTTTGGTTAACAGACAACATTTAGTAACATTTGGTAACAATTGTTACCAAACATCGAGTTAACAGACAGAGCTAATATAGAAACCATGGCACAATAAATAGGTAGCCCATTTAGCGCAGCTGATAACTCGATTAACTTTCAAAATGTGTAACTTCTACCAAAGACATAAAAGTATAAAGATAGGACAATTGATACGTAAACAATTTCCAACAGATGGCTTTTCCTCTGTTGTTACGATATCATAACAACAGAGAAAAGGATATTAAACGTTGTTAATGCTATATCTTAAGCTTATTAAATAAAAACATATTTTTTGATTGTAGATCTCTGATTTTATTTACATTTTATACACACATTTTCGCGTATTGGCATTTTTATTCTTAACATGCCTCTGTTAACCTTGATTCCCCCTGGATATTTTTTCATAAACTATTTTGCCAAAATGCATTTTGTCGAGTCTTTACGGTTTCTATGTCTTTGCTTCTACTTGAATTCGATGTGCAGTGTTGCCAACCATTCGAGACAAAAGCAATGGTTTTTTTTGATACATCACCTTATTATTGCATCATGGTTTCTACTTGATTCCATGTGTAATGATGCCAACCATGTGAAATATTATATGGGAAATTTTGACAGATGGCCGAGACAAAAACCAAATGTTTTTGTTTTGATACATTACCTTATTATTACATCATGCATGAAGGTATAAACCAATGTCTATTAATAAGGTCACCCAGGGAGACCAGCTGATAATCGACACCTCTCAAGTTTGCTGTCAAAATGCATTATTGTGAATTGACTTCCATTATGAAAACGTAAACAAAGTCCAAATTTTTGACATTAGACTTGAGAAAAAACAGCTGTTTTCCGATTTCGATTGCTGCCAACCATGTGAAATATT